AAAAAAAAAAAAAAGAAAAAAAAAGAACTAGAGGTTCCATTTGACCCAGCTATCCCCCTTCTTGGTGTCTTCCTGAAAGGATTAAAAGCATCATACAACAGTGATATATGTGCACCTATGTTCATAGCAGCAGTTTGTAATAGCTAAAGCTTGGAAACAGCCCAAAGGCCTATCAACTCATGAATGGATAAAGATGTGTTTTTTTGTTTATACATGGAGAACTACTTAGCCATAAAGAACAACAAACTTGAGACATTTCTAGCTAAATGGATGTACCTACAGACCGTACTTTTATGTGAAATAAATCAGACACAGATTTGTAAATATCGCATTGTTTCTCTGGTGTGAGTGTAAAAAAGCTGACAGTGTAAAAAAGGGCAAAAGTGTATGACATAATGTGAAATAGGAAGAAAAAGTTCAAATTGAAAGGGGCACTAGGGAGGGGGGAGGGGGAAGGAAGAAAAAGGAAAAAATTGGAAAGAAGATAAGATAGAAACAAAGCTTTTGTAAATAAGGAGGGGAAGAAGGGTTGAAGGGAGGGGAATGGGACAAAAATAAGAATTAAGATATATCATGTACAGGTACAAATTCCATATGATGAATGTGATCATTATGTATATCTAAATTATACCAATAAACTTAATAAAAAATTGAATGTTTCAAAAATAAAGTGGATGTGGTTTTCCAAGTAGAATCTATTTGTTCACAGATGAATTCCCTAGGTGACTACAGCCAATTTTTCAACTATCAGAGTGGCACTGCTTACTGCAAAGTGTTCGGGCACATTGTTATAAAATATGTACAACATTTGAAAGATCAATTGCAAGACAAAACTCTATCAGTCCCCTCCTTGTTCCTGGAAAGTCAGTGGTAATACTGAAGAACACATCACTCTGACCTGGGCTCTAGTTTTTCTCAACAAAGACCCCCAAATATGTTAATAAACCCAACTCAATCATAGTACTCAGGTGCTTCCTGTGGCACTTAAGGCATAAAAAAGACTCAAATACCAGGATCATATTTCTGGGTTTCTTCTTGCTAGATACTGGTATGGTTTTGTTCTTTGCTTCCCATCTCTTTGGTGCTATTCAATATTCTCCCATTTCCAATGAAAAATGATTACATAGGCAGGCATGCTGGCACACCTGTAACCCCAGCACTCCAAGAGGCTGAGGTAGGACCATACGTTTGAGCCCAGCCTGGACAACATAGTGACTTAGACCCTATCTCAAAATAAAAAATCAAAAGGGCTGGGGATATAGCTCAGTGTAAAGGCCCTGACTCCAATCTCCCATATTATCAAAAAAGAAGAAAAAAAGGGAATGAACTTGGATTCATATAAAATTTAAATTTATTCCATATGTTATATAGCAGCTTCAAGTAACCTATTTTTACTCTTTCTTTTGATTTTTTTCAATGGTGAAATCAAGTCTTGTTTTAACTTAATTTTATAAAAATATCAACCTCAATTATTTTCCTTGACGTTAAAACATTCAACTATAGAAATCTATTATTATGTGAAAACTTGGGCTAACTTTTGAACTTTTCAATAACACAAAAATGCAATAAGGGCTAAACATCTAGGAATTCATTTTGTGAACAATGGAAACTTCTCTAACAGCCAAGCACAGTAATACACCCAACCCAGCAGCTTCTCCTGACTCGATGGGCCTGGGTGCAGGCTCTGCAGCGCCCCTGTCTGGTCACACAATCCATCTGATGGAAGACCGGTCTGTTGGGGCTGACACACTTGGAGAGAGCTTATTCTAGTCTCTTGCTGGGCTGACAAGAGATACCCAGAGAGACTTCTCAGCTGTCTCCTGCGAAGTGTAAGTTTATGAGGCATAAGTTTTGGGGCAAAAGACTCTCAAGGGGTCTTCTAATTCATGTTTCTTTTCTGCTCTAGAGAAAACATGTAATTTTTGAAAGAGATGTGGATTGCCTCAAGTTGACAATAAGTATGGGAAGGCTGGATAATCTTTTTGAACTCTTTGGCCCCTGCTAGTGTCATGGTTCTCCCCTCAGGAGGCCTTCTATCTCATGGAGGAGAGCCAGAGGCACAGTTCTCTCACTGCAGGCTCACACATGTGAGCTTGTGATCCACAGAAACCTACAACAATTATGGCTGCAACCGACTGGTGCCAAATAGACACAACAGCAAGGGCTGTTCTGTTTCTGGTGGCATGAGTATGTGTGGCTTGTGTGTGCCTATGTGTGTGTGCATGCCTGTGTTTAATAGAATCTAAATACTATGCTTCCCTTTTAAATAAGTGAAACACATGCACAATATGGCCCTTCTCCAAAACTGGAAACATCAGAACATGTATGTGCATTGAAATCCCAGCCTGGAATTGAGATGGATAACAAATCCCCAAATTTCTTTTCCAGAGTAACTCCTATAAAGCAATAGGCCTCTTCACAGTAAATTATTTTCTAAACTCTCACAATATAATTTCAGCAAAATGAACTTACTTTCTCAATGACTGCAGCACACAAATATAAAAATGATGGTTTGGAACCATTAAAATATCAAGGACAGGATGCAAATGATGATGAGGTTCAGTTATTTATATTGTTAATAGTTAATTCAGAGACATAAAATAAAACCATACCAAGAATTAGACAAACATGTGGACTTTTAAAATTGTCATCTTTTAGCCTGATGACATGGGGGCCTTCACTTGTTCTGGGAGCCCAGCATCTGCTTGTGGGCATCACCAGGCACAGCAGCAGAGGGGACATCAAACTCTAGAAGGGGACACCAATGGGGCTGGGGGAAGCCCTTCTGCTCAAATGTCCTCAGGGTTGTGCAAAAGCTCAGTGCAAAGCGTTACTAGTGACTGATGACAGAAGTCAGCACCCAGTTAATCCATTGGACACATTCATTCCTCAGCATTGTCATTTAAAAATAAAATCCATTTAAAATTACACTCAAATCTAAAACTGAGCAGTTCTTTCCCTTCTTTTACATTGCTGACGTGTTTCCCAGGGTAATAAAGAGGGACGCAATGTCTGTGTCCCACAACTCTGGTTGTGGGGACCAAGGCCAGCTCATCACTGTGCAGTGCAGTGACTGGAGCCTGCCAGGTGTGCAGGCTGCTTTCCTTCCAGAATCCTTGTGGGTTCCCTTGCAGCAACAGCCCATCCCACACACCTTGAGGGGCCCATGGCTCGTTCAGCTGGCAGCCCCCAGAATAGGTCCAAGGAGACAGTCAGTACAAGTGAAGGCCCCAAGAGCCATCTTCAGGACACATCTCAACTTCCACCCCTAGGATGATGAGGGGTTGCTTGGAGGGTGTACACAGGAACGCCACTGCCTGTGTCCCCCAGGAGCTGAGTGCCGAGACCTAGACAAACAAAATATGGCTATGTGTAGGGCAACCTACTCCCTGACACTGAAATGTTTTAGTTTCATCCTGGAAAGATATCTTTGATGTCAGACATAAAAATTTCAGTGGTAAGTAGGAATCGTTTCAAGTTCCAAGTTCACAGATACCAAAATAAGTACAAAGAAAAAGAGCTGTTGTTTCTTCAGTAGTTCCCAGGGTAGACAGACACTGTCCATCAGCGGTGCGAAGCTAACACAGCTGAGTACAGTCCCACTCCGGCAGGGACATCAACATCTCAGAGACCTGCACTTGGCTCGGTGCCTGTGGCTCTTCTAAGAATCTGCTTGAGGCTGAGGCCCAGTGCAGTCTCATGGAATTTCTCAGGTCCTGCGTCAGAGGCCATTGCTATTTCTGTGACACAGTGGTGGCTTGGACAGTTCCACCACACCTGATTGGGCCTTGTTGAGGAATTTGGGAGCTCGGCGCAGCAATCGCTGGGCCTCTGTGAAAGTCTCAGTCAGCTCTTTCTTCCACTGTGCAAATTCTGGGTCGCTCTGGAGGGAAAAACCAACGAGAGTCGGGACATGTTCATCCACCTTGCCAACAGGCACCGGTCATGACTAACATCCTCATAAGTTCCCAAGTGCCTGTCTCGAAGCTGGGTGACTAGAGTAGAGGAACTCACCAGCTGGACTGTTCCCACAAGTCCCTGCAACTTCCAGATGAGAACTGGAATTTGCCTTGGATTTGATTATGGATTACCTTTGATTTCTAAAGCAAGTACAGTCTATAAAATAACATATTGGGGGAGTTCTGACCAAGTAAAAAGCGCAAGTTTAAGCCCAGCCTGGACAACTTAGTGAGGATCTGTCTCAAAATAAAAGAAGGGCTGGGAGGGTAGCTCAATGGCAGGGTGCCCCTAGGTTCCATCCTCTGTATAGCATGCATGCATTCATAAACAAATAAAGATGAATTTAGGCTTATATAATACAATTTTGAGGAAAAGAAAGCATTTTCTCCTTGAGGAGTCACATAGACAGCTTCATGAGACGGTAACTTAGTTATTTCACATACTTCTCCCTTCCATTTTCTTTTTTTTTGTTGTTTTAGCCCCTCAATTTTTTTCTTTTTGAAAATTGTTTTTTATTCCCTTAAATTCTATTATTGGTACATTTTAGGTATAGAACACATTTACATTTATCACTGGGTACTTGTACATGTACATGATGTATCTTGGTTATTTTTTCCCCATTCCCTGTCCCCCTCTTCCCTATTTACAAAGATTTCATTTCCATTTTTTCCTTTTCTTATAATTTTTCCTTTCCCTTCTTTCCTTTTCCTTTCTCCTCCCATTTCTCCTACCCATTTGGACCTTTTCTATTTTATTTATTTATTTATTTATTTATTTATTTATTTTGGTATGGGGGATTGAACTTGGGTCCTTCCGCTTGGAAGGCAGGAGGCAGAACCACTGAGCTAAATCCCCGGTGCCGCTTTTCTTTCTATTTCAAATTATCAATTATTCATTTTAATCATTTTAATCCTTATTTACACTTTCAGTTTCTCACACTACAGAAACTGTTCGGTATTTACACATGTGTGTCCTATTTATTTCACTTAAGAGTATGGCCTCAATATGCATCCATTTAGCTATAAATGACTCTAGTTTCTCATTCTTTATGGCTGAGTAGTACTCCATTTTATAAAAAAACCCCACATCTTCTTTACCCAGTTTCCAGTTGATGGGCACTTGGGCTGTTTCCAAGCTTTAGCTATTACAAACTGTGCCACCATAAATGTGGGTGTACATATATCACTGTGGTATGATTCTTTTAATTCTTTTGGGAAGATACCCAGCAGGGGAATATCTGGGTCAAATGGGACCTCTAGTCCTAGTTCTTTGAGGTATCTCCACACTGACTTCCACAGTGGTTGCACCAGTCTGCACTCCCACCAACAACGGAGAAGGGTTCCTTTCTCTCCACACCCCTGCCAGCATTTGTTATTGGTTGATTTCTTGATAGCAGCCATTCTTTCTGGGGTGAGATGGAATCTCAGTGTTGTTTTCATCTGCATCTCTCGAATGACCAGTGATACTGAATATGTTTTCATACGTTTATTTGCTGCTTTACTTCCTTGTCTGAGAAATGTCTGTTCATTTCAGATGCCCATTTTTGAATTGGGTCTTTATATTTGGGCAGTCTGATTTTTTAAAGTTCTTTATAGATTCTAGGTAGTAGACCTTTGTCTGAGGAATAGCTGGTAAAACTTTTTTCCCACGTTGTAGGTTGTCTCTTAGCTCTGTTGGTGGTTTCTCTTGGATTGCAGAAGCTTTTTAATAAGATGAGATCCCAGTTGTTGATTCTTTGTGCTAGTTCCCGTGCTACTGAGGTTTTGTTCAGTCTTTTCCTATGCTAATGTCTTCAAGAGTTCTACCTAACTTATCTTCCAGCAAGTTTAGTGTTTCTGTTTTAATATTTAGATTTTTAATCCACTTCGATATTAATTTAGTGCAGGGTGATAGATGTGGGTCTAGTTTTAATCTTTGGCAGGTTGAAATCCAGTTTTTCCAACACCATTTATTAAATAGGCTATCTTTCCTCCAGTGAGGGTGGTTAGCTCCTTTGTTAAAGATGAGGTGGCTGAGTATGTCTGCAGTGGTTTTTGTGTCTTCTAATCTAGTCCACTGATCCTCAGGTCTGTTTCTTTGCCAGTACTATGCTGTTTTTATCACAATAGCTTTGTAGTATAGCTTCAAGTTGAGGATTGTGATACCCCCAGCCATGTCTCTGTTGCCTAGAACTGCTTTTGTTATTCTAGGTCTCTTCTTGTTCCAAATGAATTTTTGGATTGCTTTCTCTAGTTCTGTGAAATATATTGTTGGAATTTCAATCAGCAGTGCATTGAATCTATATAGCAGTTTTGGAAGTGTGACCATTTTCGCTATATTGGTTTTTCCTACCCAGGAACAAGGGATGTCTTTCCATTTTCTTGTATCCTTTTCGATGTCTTTTTTCAGAGTGCTGGAGTTTTCAGTGTAGAGGTCTTTTGCTTCCTTTGTTAAACTGATTTCTAGATATTTCTTTTTTTTGGATGCTATTGTAAAAGGAATTGTTTCCCTAATTTCTCTCTCAGTCTATTATTTGTGTACAAGAAGGCTATTGTTTTTTGAGTGTTGACGTTGTATCCAGCTACTCTACTGAATCTGTCAATTAAGTCTAGAAGTCTTTTGGCTGAGTTTTTTGGGTCTTCTATGTAGAGTATCATATCGTCAGGAAATAATGACAGTTTAAATTCTTCCTTTCCCATCTTTATTACTTTTATTTCTTTCTCTTTTCTAATTGCTGTGGCTAATGTTTCCAGAACTATATTGAACAGGAGTGTCTTGTTCCTGATTTTAGTGTGAAAGTTTTCAGTATCTGACCACTTAGTATGATGTTGGCTGTTGGCTTTTCATAGATAGCCTTAATCAAGTTGAGATTAAGACCTTCTATTCCAATTTTCTGTAGGGTTTTTATCATGAATGGGTGTCCCTTCCATTTTCTAATACTTGCTTCTTTAAAAAGTAATTGTTAATGTGCTGAAAATCTTATACCTCAGGGATTTCTTGCTAACCATATAGTAAGAAAATGCTTTATCACCAGGTTGTCAGCCTCACTGAATATTTATGTAATTGTTTTAATTTTCACCTAAGAGAAAACAAATAAAAATAAAAACTTACCTCACATTGCAAGATAAATTGCTTCCCTCCTTTTATTCTAAACAAGATGCACTTTTTGTCTTTAATCTGAGTTTCTTCCACTGAGAGAATCTGTTCCATGGTCAGTAAATTTTGCTAACCATAAAAAAAAAAATCACAAATTACTTAAAATTATTTCATGATCTAAGTTATGTTAATAAGTAATGATACCAAGAACTCAGAATAAGTTAAAAATGACATTTTGTGATTATATTTCATAAGTGAGGGGGAAATGGCTACAAAGGAACATGTAGAAAAGTTTAAATTACAACATTTCAAAGAAAAGTGCAAAGAAAGCAATGTTTCTACTACAGAGCAAAGCAGTAAAGTGTTCTCTCTTCACAGAACTGATTTGGAATGATCTTAGGACTTGCTGCTGAGCAGCTTCCTGTGCTCTGTAACTGTTCTCCATCAGGTCAGGAGGGGGCAGTGACGCACTACATGAGATTCTCTCCAGCAAAAGGGTGCAGCTCTGTTGGAACCCAGCAACTCAGAAAGTGCCTGGTGATGCTGGCTTGTAAACTAAGAATATTTTGATAATATCAAAATGAAGCTCTAAGTACAAGTGACATCCTTCAAAGATTGTCACACTAGGTCTATAGCATTATTGCATAAGGTGACTGCTATAGTATGATGAGTTCCTTACCATTTTATGTTTTTTTGGATAAATACTCCAGGAATCCTAAATGAAAAACAATACCATCATAAACTCTCAAGTTTTCTTTTTTACTTGTTTATTCTTAACAAACCAACTTATGTACTAAGTGCTAAATCTTTTAAAAACCAAGATGTTTCTGTATCTGATGTTAAAGTAAGTTTTTTAAAAAAGTTGTCAAATATCCTGAAAAGTGGGACAATTTCCCTTTCACCTGCACAATAGTGACTTGGCAGTAGACAACACAGTGAATGAATAATATGCCCAGGTCCACTCATTATCTGGATACAGATTGAGCTTTGAGGAGCTACTGTAATACATACCAGCCCCGAGTTAGAACTCAGAGCCCCAAAAAGAGTCTTATTAATTGTAACTCAGATCTAGACCTAGATATATTAGTTTTTAAGAAATGACATTTATGGCACAATATTGAGATGATCTTGTTGATTTTTAAAGGAATGTGGTAATATGCAATCACAGTCGTTTGTACCAAAATGGCAACTTCCCCAGCAAGGCTTAGAAAACAATCCTAAGTCTAACACACAAGGTGTGGGGCTCCCACTTTCCTCACTTTTGTTTTATTTATTTATTTAATTTTTTATTGATGTACTTTAGATACAATGATCATATCCATCATAGGGAATTTGTACCTGGAAATGATATTTCTTGCTTCTTTTTTTCCCATTCTCCTCCTTTGCCTTCAACCTCTCCTTCCCTCCTTATTTACAAAAGCTTGTTTCCCTTTTCTTCTTCTCTTTTTTTTCTTGTTCCTTCCTTCCTTTCCCCCTCCCCCCTCCCTTGTTCCCCTTCTCATTTGAACATTTTGCAATATCTATTATACATTTTGGTCCTTATTTATACTTTTGGTGTTTCACAGCACAGAAACAATATGGTATTTAAACATGTGTGTAAAATTTATTTTACTTAAGAGTATGGTCCCAAGGTGCATCCATTGAGCTAAATATGTCTAGAGCATATCCTTTATAACAGAGAACTCCATTGGGTAAAAAACCCCACATCTTCTTTATCCATTCATTGGTTGATCTTCTCTACTTCTGACTTCAAGAGAAATGATGGGCGGTATCCACATCACTAATACATAAACTCTGTGCCTGACACTGGAGACCACTGTCCTCCCCAGGAGTAGACAAACTGCCCTCCACCAGGGTTGGCTCTGTGCATGAGGACCAGTCCTGGTGCCACACACAGTAGCCACTTAATAAATGCTGCTTGAGTTGCTAGCAAATACAGCATGGATTAGAAAATTTTCCATCTTGTTCACCAGCATGAGCTGTAGAAGGAACTCAAGAGGGCAGCTATGTCCTCCTATGGGACCTACCCATAGGTGGGTTTGCATAAGTTTCCAGCAAGGTGCAAAGGGAGGTATGGTTTGATGCCACTTCCCCGAGTCAAGTATCGCAAATGACATTCTATCTGACTGGACTTGAGAGACCAAGTGCACAGGCAGACCTGGGTTCCCATCCCTCTGCACCCACATCTGTCCAGCTATGGCTCGTGGGTGCTAGACTCTGCCTCTTTGAGCTTTGGTGTCCTCTTCATTAATCGAGTTGGACCTTCAAAGGTTATTAAACAGACTGAAGGTTGTGTGTGTGTGTATTTTATAGCATCTGGCCTCAGATAAACATGTAAAAATTACAGTAGCCCTTGTGATTTCTGTTCCTTCTTTTTCCCACATGAGGAAACTGAGGCTCTGAGAGGCAATGGAATGGGCTCCACGTCTCGGAGGCACTAAGCTGTGGATATGAACCTGTCTGACCCCACTGTCCAGCTGTCCTTTTCTCCTGTGACCTGCCAACTGCTCAACCCATTTGAAGGGTCAGGGATTTTGACTTGGTTCTCTCTAAAAGAAAGAAATATTTCAGAGACTACATAGCCCTTCTCTGATGTGGACCTGGATGTTTAACAGTGAAAGTTTGAATGCTGCAATCTTGTGATATACATTGAGATACACAGGCCTTAGGGAGATGCTTTGGAAAACATGTTGGCAACATGAGGTCACCACATGACACGGAACATGCTGGAAGCAGTGCTGGGTGCACCCCCCCCCCCCGGGACTCACCCGTGACTCGCCTTCTCCTCTCCACTCAAGCCTGTTCGGGAAGAGGTAGAAGTAGCGGCGCTGCCACTGCGTAAGGAAAGGGTTGCCCAGCTTCAGCATGTGCCCATGCATGATGCAGTCCTTGCCCAGGGCATAATCTGAGGGCGGAAACACTGAGAGTTAGTCAGGGCCCAGGCCAGGTAGGCCTTGAGGCAGGTGTATTCTCAGGAATACAGAATGACATGCTTTTGGGGAAAGTCACACTTCTATGACTCTAACACATCACAGAAACCATTATTTTCATTTGTAAACACATGGGAACTGGGCATCTAACTCAGAAGTTTCCGACTCACTCTCTATTAATGTTTCACAGTTGCTTTTCAGGATTCCAATGAATTCCCAGTGCTCATTTATTCCTCAGAGAGGTCCAAGTTTGTTCCAAACCGTTTTTTTTTTTTTTTTTTTACTGTATATAAACAATGAAGAACATAGAGTCAATTTGAGCTATCCCTGAAGTATGCTGGCCCTTTTGGGGCACCGAGATTGTCCCTTTAGTCTATCTTTCATCCTATAAATACTATTAAAGCGGGGACTTGTCCCGGTCAGCTGAGGTACACAAGGTCAAATGTGGTTCATTCCTTAGCTTAAGGTCAGGTTTGTTTCTCAGTCACACGGCTGTGTACAGAGACAAGTCACTTTCATGTTGAGACCTGATTACCTATTTGAGATACTAAAAAAAGATTGATTTGTAGCTTTCACAGAAAGCTTTGTGATTATGTTAAAATCAGCCAGTTACTGAAAAATTTATTCATTCAACAAGTAGTCTGTGAAAGCCTAAGTGCTGGGCATGTTCTGTATTCAGCAGTGCACAAAAAGGACAAAATTCTGCCCTTGTGGAGCTTACAGTCTAGTGTGAGCTTCAGATATTAAGCAAAGAGGCAAACCCATGCTGGGTCGTCAGGCCACAGGAGAGGAGAGGACCCAGGAAGGAGGGGGGTAGGGAGGGTCACTGGGGATCAGGTGTGGCTCTTGGCATTGCCATTTTAATCTGAAGTGTGCTTACATTTCCAAAGTATTTAAAATATAAGTGGGCTGGGAATTTAGCTCAGTGGTTCCGGCACCTGCCTCAGAAGCGCAAGGTCCCGAGTTCGATCCCCGGTACCAAAAAAAAAAAAAAGAAAAGCAAGTAAAATATAAGTATCTTTTTTCAGAGATCTAAGCCAAGACTGTAGATTTTTCTATAGAACAATTTTTGAAATCATTAACCAAGATACATGCAAAGTATTTACTAACATTATTAATATATAAAAAATCAGTCCACTCATTTGTTACATGTTCTGTTTAATTACAGTTCTAATTAAAGGAATACACTCAGCAGTCATTAGAATACATAATTTTCCTGGGTCTATTTTGTCAGGATCCTAGGACCATCATGGCAAATGACTGCTGGTGCAAGTTCCTTGGGACATCTGTCATGGCAAGCACACACGAGTGTGACCTCAAGGACAGGTACTCTGAAGAGCAGCTCACACACAAAGGTTGTGTCCCCTGGAGAACTGAGGTGGGGGACAGTTAAAGGTGTGCAGCACTCCCTTGTTATATTGTTAAATGCTCCTGGGAGTGTCAAAGAGGACCAGAGACTCCTACACCAAGAAGCTTCCACCAAAGCAACCTTTAATAGAATGAAAATGTTTTTGGTCCTTCTTATGCATATGTGATCTCACCTGTGCAGGTCTTAGCTGAGAGAGAAAATGAAATGACATTTTACCTTAATCATCAACTATAATAAACTTAAATGTCTTACAAAAATAAGTAAATCTTAGACGAACCAAGAGTAACAATATTTAGTGAATCAAGAATGAGTCATTTTTAATACTTGATGTTATTTTCCATCTTTGAACTCCTATTTGGCTATTCTTAAAACACATTTTGTAACATAAATATAATCATACATTTCTCTCTCCTGAAAAGTGACAGGTCATACCAAGTTCCTCCCCAGGACCAGCTACCCATGTCAGGGGCCCTGTGCAAAGTGAACATGCAAACTCTTCTTCAAAAATCTGCACCCAAGTTTGCACTTTGAGACACTCAAGATGGTGACGGCAGAGCATGCATCCTGTGCCCTGGGTGACTGCATAGGACACACACCAGTTAGGCTGGCCCTGCTTTCAAAGCTGTCCTACTCTATTTTCAAGGAACAAGCTTCCTACCTGGCCCTCACTACTCCCTGATAGATGACCTAGATGAAATAAGGCTGGCTGTCTCAATACACTTTTGTTTATATGTTGACTGAAGACTGATACTAACTTAACTCTTCCAATCCACATAAAACTAAAATAATGACCAGCCTTTTTTTCTCTGCTGGGAAATACTTCATGACCCAAATGGTTTTTTAGCTTCATAAGAAATTGTGAAAATTCCTTGCATTTAAAACATATCAAGACACATGAACTATTTTACCTTCCTCATGACCAGGTTGCTTATTTTTTGCTCTCTTCCTGGCTTCAATTTTATCAGTGTCTGCGTTTACTGCCTCATAAACTGTCTCCATCACTTCCTGTTGCCAGCGCTCAGAGACAACCAAAGGGAAGTTCTTGTAGAGTTCTTGGTCACAATCAAGCAGCTTATTAGGAAATAAAAAATACATATACTTTAAATTCTTTTATTGGTACATTTTAGGAATACAATACAATTACATATCTCACTGGGAACTTGTACCTTTACATGATGCATCTTGGTTCTTATTTTTTCCCCATTCCTAGCCCTCCCTTCACCCCCTCCACCCTTCCCTATTTACAAAGACTTTAAGGAAATAAAATATTTGTGATTTACCATATTTTCAAAGACAGTGGGTCAGTAGCACCACACCCATGGTGACTCATAGCTGTACACAGGAAGACAGCTAGAAGACAGCACATAGTCACTGAGAGCTTTTAGCTGTGACAGATCTCCAGTGACAATGACTCAAGCCACCAGGACTTAGGGTCACAACTGACTAGCACGTCACTCCATCTGGGTCAGGTAGACTGGGCCTCATCTTCTGTACCATCTTCATGGCATTTTTGTCAATGAAAACTAACACACATAGGGTTCTATTCAAGTATTAAAAGATTCTGATGACTAAGTAAAATTTTAATTATCATGAGGATATATTATTTATAAAAGTAGGAAAATAGATCTGTATGGTTTTAGAAACAATTGTAGCACATATTATAATATGCTTACAATTATGAGGGCTTTCCAACCTGCCTTCATTAATCTGTAAAGTTAGGAAAATACAAGCTAAGCTAGGCTGAATTTAATATTCCACCTAATTAAACACTACAATCACGTGTATAAATAGAAGGTGCAAGACACATGGAATTTAGGCAACATAGCCCCCAAGCGTTGCTGTAATAAAAATTACATTTAATGATAGCATTTTTCTTTCCAATGATTACTGAGATTCTTCATAGATTCTTCATTCTGCCCTTTTAAGTGAGATTGCACTTTGAAAATGAGCTTGTTTTAGGCATTGAGCAAGTTTTCTGGGAGAAGACTGAGCCATTCTTCTGATAGAAAACACACATCTTGTCAGAAGCACAATCTCTTTAGAGTCTTGATCTCCTTCATAGGCCATTTTTGTCTGGGAGAACAGACAGACACAGGTGCTGTAGCAAGGTATTTAGAAGGAAAAGACAGGACAAGGAGGTGGTACCTGCCCTGGTGCCTCAGCAAATCAGCGAACATGAGAAACACCAATGTCTTGCCATCCACAATGGGCCATTGCCTCTCCAGTCTGACATCTGTTATAACAAGGTCCCCTTTCGGTCAGTTGGATTGGCAGAGCCTTCCCCCTTTCTGCTTTCTTCTAATCTCTGAACCATGCCCATAGCAGACATCCTCCATAGTTATGAACGGGAAGAGAGGCATGTGCACACCAGTGTGTGAGTGGGAGTGAGCTGGGGAGGTATAGACACCAAGCCTGCAGGTATCTGTGCTGGGCACACAGATGCACATTTGTAAAGGGCATAGCCTGAGTCCACATGGACTCCCTTCATATTCTTTGGGTTGCTTAACAAAGATAAAGAATAGATCATTTGTAAGATGTTACTCAGATGGGTGTGGTGTGCATTCCTGTAATCTCAGCTTTTCAGGAGGCTGAGGTAGGATAGTAAGTTTGACCCCAGCCTGGGTAACATATCAAGACCCTATGTCAAAAAATGAAAAGCACTGGAGATATAGCTCAGCGGTACAGTACCACTAGGTTCCATCCCAGTTCCACAACAAACAAACAAACAAACACCAACACAGATCCCTTCACTGGACTGAGCCTCCATTCACAGTTGCATACCTGCCACTCACAACTTCCACCTCTACCTGTTCTCATCCCCCAAACTACAGGGTTAGAAGCCAGTCTGTTAAGTGCTGACTCTGTGCCGGGAGGCATAGGTCATCTCATTTTGCTCACAGTGAGCTTGACAACAAAACCACCTACTTTACAGGTGGGAAAACCAAGGCTCCGAAGAAGTTAAGGAATGGCCCAAATTCATTCTGCTGCCAAGTGGCAGCTTTGAGCTGAGTCTTTTGCCTTCAAAGTCTAGATTCTTGTTCATAAAAATTTTAAGTATGAGAGACTCTTTTTAATATGGAAACATTTGGTGAGATCTCACATTAATAGCAGTTTTATTTTTAGTACCCTTTGATGGGTAGTTGCATGTCTGATGACAAAGTTCTGCCATGACAGGAGCAATCCCTTTATGTAGTTCTGTCCATGGCTTGCTCCTCATAGCCTACTGTGCAGCAGGCCTTACACTCCTGGCAGGTACTGACCACTGAGGCTGCAGATGATGCCTAGTGATGCTGGGTCTAGGCTCTGTTCTTGCTGCTGTCCCCGGGACAGCTACATCCCAGATTACAGGTGTCTCTGAGCCACCCAGCAGTCCCCCACCCCTGCCCTGTGACCTCAGCTCTCCCCACTTTGCCTGCACCTAGCCTCACTTCCTGGAAATTGCTCCTGGGAATATCCTGATGGTCCTTCTGGCTCAGCCCTCCTCTCCGGATGCTATCACCAGCTCTACCCAGCTGCTGCTCCCTTCCCCAGCCACTCAAGCGCTTGGTGTCTGTGTGCCATTTGCCCCACTTTCCCATCTGCCTATGTGGTTCTGGATGTTTGTAGTGACAACTCCTGGTAGGCCTTTGCCTTTTACAGCCCTCCTTTTCTTTACATCTGGAAGGTGAGTGTTACCGTAATATCCCAGCCTTCTGGGGAGTAGGTACTTGGGAGGACAAATGCAGGGATCAGCAGAAGAGGATAAAAGAAGGCAGCTGAGAAGAGATGGGGGTTCAAGACAGTGGGGACACCGGGAGAAGCAGTTAGAGTGGAGACAGATAACAGTGTGACATGTAGTGATACACTGACTTAGCATTCTAAAGACAGTGATTTTTCTCTCATGACTTACCATGTGTAATTATGTCTTGTCTCTACTTGGAAAAATAATGATATGAACAGAAGTTTGAAAAATGCAGAGGATGATGTAAAAAACAGTGATTATTTTACCTCTGACTGACAAATGCAAAATGATTCATGTTGACTGTACTTTTCATCCTGACACAAGGAGATCCAAGTACTCAGCAGGATTCAAACAACTGGCTCTTTTGCACTAGGTGAAATATGTTTGATACCATAGTTGTTTTTCCCTGCTTTATACATGTTCAAGTTTCTTTCAATCACAAATATTCCAAATCAATAAAGATTTGACCATTTTGTAATTCAGTAAAAATAAAATTATTAGTACAATGAAAGAGTTCATGGTTTCTCCCTAATTTAGGACTCTTTTCTTTTTTCCCTCCAGTATGAAGGATTAAACCTAGGGCCTTCATACTGAACTACATCCCAGTCCTTTCTATTTTTCATTTTGAGGCAGGATCTCATGGACTTGCCCAGATAGGCCTCTAATTTAGGTCTTTAACTTACAGAGTTTCAAAGATATGATACTCATTCCATAAAGAGCCCAAAACTAAAACAATCACTAAGTTTAACTGATTCTCAACAGAAACTTCACACATAAAAAAAGTAAAACAAAAACTGTCACATATGTACCTTAATGCCTTTAGTATCCTCTTCATCAAATGAGCCAATATCAAAAGCATCTGCAGCATTGACTTCTCCCCGGGGAGGAATTAGTGGGGGTGGATACTGGAAGAGCCAGAGAGGCAGGGCACAGTTATGAGAAGGCCTTTACAGCCCAGTCCCAATGGTCTGACATCAATCTGCCCCACTGTACAGTGCTCTACCCGGCTCCTATAGCCACACTGCACATGTCACACTTGAGCCTTGGCAATGAAGATGGGGAAGACTGTTAAAAAAAGACTCATGTCCAAAGCTTAAATAATTTTTAAACATGATGAAGCCTCCAGACTATATACCCACAGCTGAGTTTTGAGGAAGTGGCTGCTCCTGGACAAGGGTTGCAACATGATTTGGACTTGCTGGGGCTGCACAAAGAACCACCCCACAATCATTGGGTGGCACTACTGAACGTGTGGACATGCACTGATTCTAATTCAGCAGGACTAGGAGCTCACTCTTTCTTTACTAGGCCAAGTCCCCACTTCTCTGCAGGGTTGAGTTCACGTAGAAAGGAGTCCAAAGATGATAATCAACATTTTAAAAAAATTTAATTTGAGGTGTTTCTTGTATCAGTGAGAATATAATAAAGCTTCAGTAAGGAAAGCATCTGGGGTATGGCTCAGGGGTAGAGCATGTGCTTAGCATCCATGCAGCCCCGGGTTCCATCTCCAACACCAAATACAAAAATAAAAATAAGGGAAGAGAATTATGTTGATATAAAAGCATGTTAATTCTTAAAATTATGTGGTGCTGGGCTAGCAAATATATATAAATTTATATCAGAAGTATCTGGAATACTTTTATATAGGTTTGTGTAAAAATATGGTCACATTTTGAGAGAATTTAAGAAGATGAGTAAAAAGCTAAAGAAGTCTCAATTACATGGATATTTGATTAATTTATAGAAATAACATTTTCAGAATTTTTATAGTTGTCCCTCAGTATCTGTAGGGGATAGATGGGCTCTAGGACTGTCAGACACCAAGATTCATACATGTTTAAGTCTCTGATCTACTATGGCATAGTATTTGAGTATCACCTACACAAGGCTCCAATATACTTAAATATCTCTAGATCACTTATGTCTAATACACTGCAAATGCTGTGTAAGTAGCTCTTATGCTATATTGTACAGGGAGGGATAATGACAAGAAAAAGTCTGCACATACTGCATACAGACACAATTTTCTTCCTGCATTCCACTTGTGGCTTGCCTGAATCTGTGGATATAGAACCTGCAGATACACAGGGGTGACTGTACAAAGAAGTGAGGAGGAATGTTGCCCCTAGGGAGTTGGGGAGTGGTAACACTCGGTGGCAGAACTCTGTGCACATGGGAAGCTGAGGTGGAAACCCTGGGGGACAGAACCAGGAAGTCAGCAGAGATAGAGAGGAGAGGAGGGTGCAGAGGGACCTGAGGGAGTACCTTTTGTAGATAGATGTGCTGCCAGTCGACGCCCTTGAAGAAGCTGTGCTCTTTCACTTCCTGTGCGCTGGTGAAGAAAGACAGTCCTCAAAGTGGTGAGTACGTATTTGGAAATACAAGAGACTTTGCAAAAAGTGTCTCCTGTTAAGAACACATAGGAATCATCTCCAGCTCTTTAAGGAAGCAAATAAAGAAGGCTTCTTTCCAAGCTGCATAGGAAGTGCTGCAATGTTTAGGAACACTGCAGACTGCACCTGGGACTACTGTTCCATATGATCCTTTATGTGGGATGCTTCTTTCAGTTTGTGATAATACGGTAGTTTTCACAAGTATATACACATATGTCTCTCTCACATATCACATGGATACATATATGTTATACGTAAAAACCTTAAAAGTGGGCAGTAGAATGCACATATATGATAATTATATATGATGCATATATATATATGATAATTCTGTGGTTGTTAGAATGTAAGTGAGAATTAAACTGGAGATCCACACATTAAAAGAACTTTATGGCAAATAACTACAAGTTTGACAAAGAAAATAACAGGAAAATGATAGGAATATGAAACACCAAGTATTAAGTGCAAACTAGAAATCTAATAATACAGTGCATGCCAAACTCCTTTATGGGATAAAAGCCCCACATTTCTTGAAGGTCACAATTAAGACCCAGTGCATACAGAACCAAGGTTGTAGGCTGAAGCAAAGCCCATATCCTTGTGGCCCTAGCAAGTTCCTCTCAGTTCAGTCTGTGTCATATAGCCCAATGCTGCACCTCAGCTCCATCCTCCAGGCTCCCTGGGGCATCTCGCCCAGCCCAGGCTCTTCTGGGCCTTTATTTTTCTTTATATGATGCCCGTATCTCCATGGCAAGCACCCTGGCTCCAGAAGAGTATCCAAGTGCCCTACACACCTTGCTATTGGGCCATGTGGACACAGGGGAAGGACTGATGGCAGAGTGGCAGAGCTGCTCCCCTGAGGACAAGGCCAGTGTACTGAGCTCCTAACTCATCACAGTTCTTGTGTGTATGTGTGTGTGTGTGTATGTGTGTGTGTGAGACACAGGACTGGAACTCAGTGCATGGAGGCTTTGACCTTGGTGGACATGTGAGAATGTATGCAAACACACACACACCTCAACCCTCCTTCCCCACACCCAGCGTGCAAACATACACAGCTGGGTGTTTAATAGGAGGGGGAAGAATTTCTGAAAACTTCTGCTTTTAAGAAATTAAATTTGTAGGGCCGGGGATTTAGCTCAGTGGTTCCAGCACCTGCCTTGCAACTGCAAGGTCCTGAGTTCGATCCCTGGTACCAAAAAAAAAAAAAGAAATTAAATTTGCTAAAGATTTAAAAAAAGCAATCAGTTGAGGATTGAACATTTAAAAAGTCAGAAAGTAAAACAAAGAACCAAGGCAATGACAATGATAAAACAGAAGGTCAGAAGCATGGGAGACCTGAGAAATCCCAATATCCATCTAATAGGGGTTCTAAGAGAAACAGAGGAGAGGAAATGTTAAATTAGTAAAATAAAAGTGTTCTCCACACTGAAGGACATGAGTTTTGGAATCAAAGTGCCTGACATCATGAGGGTTGTGATAATTGAGCTGTGACCAGCACTGATCATTCATTTAAGTGGGATAAAGCGCCATCTTCACAGTTCTAGGGTAAAAGTAATACTGATTTTGAGTTCTCTATCAAGCCTAGAGAGCAGTCATGTTTGAGGACAGCGGGAAGACATTTCAAATAACTAAGATGCAGGAACCTGAGCCTCTCACACATCTCTCTATGGACTGACTTTGGAATGAGCTCTGGCTAGAAAGGAGGGGACCTTGAAAAGCAGAAAGCACGGGGTCCAGTAAATGGTAGTCAAATGAGGAGCATGAAAAGGAACGATGCTGATTAGAGGGGAGAGAGGAGAAAGCAGGGAGGAAGAGGAGGGGAGGGGAAGGGGACGGGAGAGGGGAAGAGAGGAGAGAGCTCTGTTCTCAGCAAAGCTGGTAGACTGCGCCCATCACAAAAGAAAAATAAGGTAAAAGTGAAAGTACACAATTGTGACACATACATAATAGCTTAAGATATATTACTAGCAAAGTAGAAACTATGGAATGAACAACATGGACATACTACTACTTCATTTTTATGCAGAGCACAAAAATTGATTATGATCCACTATGCTCAAAGAACAGGGAGAAAACCATACCAAGTCAATATGGCAAAAGTAAAAAATAATATGACAAAAATGAATGACAGAGAAGTAGACAATGAATGACAAGAATATCAAAATCCCTTCCCCCACAGCATCAAGTAGGGACTCAAGAGACACTGTTAATTGTTGACGGAAAAGACACAACTGGCTAAATACATAACTTAGAAGTATAAGGTAAACACAAGAACCAAATATAACATTTCAACTCTTGAGAGGTGAGGGAAAAGGAAGGCTGTAGAGAGTGTAATAAGTGAGCTACATCTTTATTTGTTACAATCTCCCAGATAAACTAATAAATAAGCAAATACACATGAGGATAATATTTAGCTATCTCTATAACATATATATACCATACAGGTGTAATACGTGTACATACATACATGCTACTCTAAAGAATACACACATACACACATGTGGCACACACACAAGTAACATGTTAATGGTGGCTTCCATGTAAGGCAAGCCTGGGTGTGAGGAGAAATGGGAAGAATGAGTGTAAGCTCTTCTCTATAGGCTTTGCAGGTATGACTGGGGAGGGAGGAGGGGCAGAAAGCTCGTATAAATTGGCAGTTAGTTGGTTATGCATGAGAGAAAATGTGTGAGAACCTGGTAACATCAACCTCCCAAAATCACAAATAAAAGCATGACTAAAACTTATGGAGATGGACTATAAAATATCAGAATTCTTCTCCATCATCTACAAGTTTGATTGTTACAGTTAAAAAGTTATTGACTCCTTCCACTTCTTAATTATAAAACACATAAGGAAATATACATATATTCCCTGTGTGATTTCTCCCCGCTTAGGTCAAAATGGAATTTTAAGGACTAGGAATGCCGTCTGGTATATTAACAATAATGGTCCTGCTTTTGGGGTAGAGACTAAAAGGCAGGTACAGGGCCTACCCGCCTCCATGGCAGCCCAGCCGCTTGCCCACTTCACGCTGTAGCAGGCCCTCCAGTAGTGACTTCAGCTCGGGGGAGAAGGCGTCTGGGAGCTCCACATTCTGGGAAAAGAAGAGAGAGACCTCATAAACCCTCACGCCAACCAGATGCTATGCTACTTCTTGTAAGTACAGTAGGAAAAACTGCAGATTCATTATGGATTAATACTGCCACACAAACATAAAAAGAAACATATAGAGATTAGTAATTAGTTTCAAAACCAGTCAACAGGCTGGAGCCAGATCTGAAGACTCATATGCTACCTCCCTCTTCTGCATCATAGTAATTGCTCCTTTTATTTGATTTCCTTGGTTTCTTTTTTTAATGTCTTTTTTATGCAGTCTGTTTGCAAATCTTGATTTTTATCCTGGGATCTAGTTCATTTTATTTTCCTTTTAAGATTCTTCCAGGAATTTTATCTTAATTGATTTATTTCAAGAAGGCAAATTTTTATGCTTTTTATATTTACATATTATATATATTATTTTTAGCCTATTTTTTATAATATAGTAATTTTAGTATTGGTGGAATAAAACATGAAAACACTATGATGCAAATAAGAATATAGTTTTTAATCCTCTTACCACGGTGAGTGTCATTCGGTCTATCTCATGCTTATCTTTGGTTTTGTGTTGTCTGAAAGGGCTGTGACTGTAGAAATAAAGAACACTCTGTTAAAATATGGCAGCAGGTAAGTTAGCACATGCACTAATATTTGGGTGAAGTATTATTTGAAACTATAGAAATGCAAGTCATAAACACTTATCATTCCAGAAAAAAACTCGTGAGCAAATATATTAGGCCCTGAACAAGCAAGACTCCATCTCACCTGATTTTTCTGATCCTCATGTCAGTGAAATTGTGGCACTGAAATGTGGTTTTCTAATTAAAATATCATTAGAGGGAAAATCAGTCAACAGATAACCATGAAAATATGAGTCATTTACAGAAAGTGTCATGAG